TAGAGTAACTGCTAGGAGCATGATCTCGATGCTGATTAGCATCAGGATGATGTTCTTACGGTTCAGTACGAACCCTAGCATTCCTACAAGGAATAGCACTAGAGAAAGTGTCATGATTGCATGGTTAGTTCCAAGCGGTTCCATTGGAAAGCATTAGTGGGGCCAATATGGTCCAGTCAGCGCAAGCACACCGATACTAAGACACCGATGGTCCCTAGATACCGTAAGCTACCCGAAAGCTCGGTTGTAGCTTTGATTACACGTACTGATAGGCAATGTGTAGTGCTTACGCAAGATGAATTAGATGGTTACAGATTGACCATAACGCCTTGACCCGGACTTAAGGCAACTGCCAAGTAGCAGCATGTAACCTGAACCAGGCGCCTAGATTGGCAACTAGACTATATTTGTGTGAGCGTACGTAGAGTACTGCCGCAATGTGCAACAGGTTACTACGAAGCATGGTCGGGAGCGACGGGGCTCGAACCCGCGTCAACATCAATGACACTGATGTATTTTGCCAGTTAAACTACACTCCCATGTTAGACAGCTACTCAACAGACAGCTGATAACGCATACGTATGCGTTACTTATAGTAGCCACAGCTCCGGAACACTAGCTAGGTCGTCTGATTCTTATAATCACATCGCCAGACCTCCTTGCGAAGGCGCCCTAGTTAGGTCTCAGTAGTAGGCTGAGGATGCTGACCAGATCGGCATCGATCTCCTCCACTAATATAAGGAAGGTAGTGCCAACATGTCAACACGTCATTATAAGTATCACTAGGGAGAAGGAAAGAAAGAAAGATAGAAGGATGGAAGCTACCACACAAACATAGCTATAGCCGTATGCTACATAGTGTAATGGCCAACTGTCCTTTGCGGCTGTATGCTCTCTGGCCGCTTAGAGGTACGGTATAGGCGAAGGCTGTATAGTGTAATGGCCGACTGTTTGATGGCGTACTCTGCTCTATTGCCCCTATGCGTTGCATGATGTACTCGATGCACTTGACCACTTGTACCGAATACTCATATTTTACTATGAGCTACCTGGGCCTAGGAGTCTCGTGGGTACAACGCTATGCTGTACCATGTCTATATACCACGACCAGGCTTGGCCTATCTGTACCTACTATAGCTCTACTCCTTCCTAGATTAACTTGACCACTTGTACCTGATACTCATATTTTACTATGAGCTCCCTCTGGGCTATGAGTATAGGACAATCCCCTAACACAGCCTTGTTCGTACCCTGAAGCAACATCAGTTCCATCTGTAATAGCACGAGCTGAAGCAAGACTACAACCACCTTCCATGGGCACAAATGCCTCTTCGTCTAGCTACTAGGCAGGACAGAGAGAAAAAGACACAATAGGGGCCTTTTTTGACAAAGACTCTTATAGGGACGAGCGTCGAGGCCCTATAAGAAGCTTTGGCATATGATAGTAGCACGCCTCGATAGGTCTATGACGAACATTGCGTGGCTGTGCAGGTCTACGATCGCCTTGATCAACAATCCGAACAAAGGATACTGGTGTAGGCTATCTATAGGTCTCTCTGTGTCATGGACCGTTACAGAAGCTATGCGACCACTACTATATGCAGCACGTCAGCTATACCACATCAGACTATGGTAGGACACACCAACAACGCTAGTCAGCTATACCACATCAGACTATGGTAAGACATATCAACATCACTTGTCAGCTACACCATGCTAACATCACCTATCAGCTATACCACATCAGACTATGGTAGGATTTATCAACAGCACTAGTCAGCTATACTTCATCAGCTATGGTAGGATACGCAAACAGCGCTAGTCAGCTATACCACATCAGCTATGGCATGACACGCAACCAATAGGGAGTGATCACCTATGTCATGCTATAGCACCGTATGACACGTAGCTAGATGAAGGCTCGTAGGTGACACAGCTCACATGACCAACGATTCTTATAGTCCTCGGCCTCCGCTGTCGGCGTCGTACTATAAGAGCCGTTTGTCAAAAAGAACCTGTTACCGTGCCTTGTAGATAGGCCTGGATTTCGATCTTGACGAGCAACTCATTGGCCTAGAACAAGTTGCACATGTTGAGCCTATTGTTTGTGGAGACAAGCTACCCCCAAACTATGCTCGGCTAGCGCCTCGGTGGGGTGGTGATAGGGCAATCAAGTAGCATAGCTGCGTATAAGTCTGATGGAACTGCTCACTCTATCGTCCATACAGATACGGATGCTTATAGCTAGAGGTCAGATGCCTCTAGTCACTCTGCCACATCGTCTCACGCTACAGACAGGAGACCTCTGGGTACGGAGTGCTCATAGGTAAAAGATGAGTATTCGGTACATTGTAACAGCGTTGGTCGATCCAAGGATGAGCTTAGCCAAGGATGAGTTGGCCTCTAATTACGGTCCTCCTACCCCCTCCGTAGTCGGAAGCTTTCTCATGTGTGCTTCACGTGATTGTGCCAGGATGAGTTGGCCTCTAATTACGGTCCTGCATGACTCACATGTCACTACAGACAGGAGACCTCTGGGTACGGAGTGCTCATAGGTAAAATATGAGTACTAGGTGCTTGTCACAGCTCTGGAGGTAGGTGATGGGTTATGGGATGATCGAGTGATGTAGACCACTAGGTACAGGATGATGCAGAACCTCTGGGTACGGAGTGCTCTTAGGTAAAAGATGAGTACTCGGTACATTGTCACAACAGCTTATTGATATGGTGTCTCGAGGGTCCGGCCCGGCCCCCTCCCTCCATAGTCGGTCGGGAAGCTTTCTCATGTAGGTTCCACGGTATCATACTAGGACATAAGTCAAGTACACCTCCTGGATGTCTTTAGGTTGGGGGTCCGCTTACACCCTAGCACTATCACATGAGGCTTCTAATATACAGCTCCCAACCTTTAGGTTGGGGGTCGCCATGGTTCGCCCAAGGAGTTTATCGTTACAGAGACTATTACCGTAGGCGCCTAAGCCTCCTACCTGTCTTGCCATAGAGCATAGCGCGGTGTCGGACGTTGGCGTTACGTTATGCCGTAGACGCCTATAGGTAGGTGACCTGATGCAGGCAGCTAGTGGTCACTCCCACTCGCATTCGTAAGGTAAAAGTATACGGTACAACCATGGCTTCCCTTCCTTCTTTCTATCTGTCTATCTAGCGATACTTATAATGGCGAGGGTGACGAGTCGATACTGCCTTCCTTATAATGATTTTAAGGACACCTAACACACTCACCTACATGCCTCATAGGGGTGAGGACGGTGATGAGAGGGGATAGCCCTATACGTATAGGTGGATCCTGAAGCAAAAGGGGATACGGGTTATATTTGCTCTGTTGGCTGATTCACACCTTAACGGTGAACGCTCCGAGCTTGTTCTTACCGGTGTACTGACCGAAATCTAGTGATTCCGTGTGCACCAGTAGCTGCTGATCCGATACGTTGAGACTTCACTGTCTGTCGTGGACCTGACCGTTGTGACGGAAGTCGACCAGACACTTGAACCTCTACTCCAGTAATGTGAGATGCCGACATAGCGTTCTCAGGTACTGATCCCTCAGAAATCGCTAGTGGTAGCGTTGACTTTAGGTACCGGAATAGCCGAACGAATGAGTACTGACTGCTGTTCAGTCCAAGGTACTTCGCTAGGATAGATGCATCCACACAGTTAAGATCAACGTCGATCATACGTAGCTCGACAGGTCGACCTCAACACCGTGACAGTGCGTTAGCTAGAGCTACAACACTTGCGTGACTCGGCTGAGCCTGTTGTGTGTAGTATAGCACCTGCACGATCACACGGTTAGCTGTTACACTAAATTGTGGTGCTCCTCCAACTGCTTTGTTCGTGTGGAAGAATGCTTCTAGTAGCCGTGTGGCTTGACGCTTCATTCCCATGGCTTGAGTACGTGCTACTTTACCGAATACGAATGTGGTCATGATGGTTAGTTAGTCTGCGTGCGACTACGCTGTTAACTAGTTAGAGAAGAATACTGGAGCAAAGCTACACGATGTCGACTCACTAGATACAGCTGTGTAATGCGAACCAAGGAAATACTATAAGGTAATCCAAGGCTGGCACATCAAGGTGTAACGCTACGATTGTTGGTCGTAGCTCTAGGACACTTGAGTTTGGCCAGTAACAGGGGTTGAACCTGTGTTACATCGACATGAGCGTTGTGTTCTGACCAACTGAACTATACTGGCTATAGGCCTACGGTAAGCTAAGTCCTGTCTATATTCGGCCATTGCCGATACAGTGAGCATATTTCATGCTACGGGTCTCATACATGGGCGTATCCAGTGCTAGATTGCATCACTGAAGGTTACTGGAACCTCAATGAGCACTCGCTGTAACGGTAGCAGTACAGCTTGAGCTGCTGTTGGACATTATTCGCCTTAGACTTTCCTACTATGATGCTCTGTAGGCCCTGACTACAGACCCTTATAACGGCCAGGTTGCCTGGCAATCACAAGGATCTAATGGGTCACCTCCCAGAATCGAACTGGAGTCTCTAGATCCACAAACTAGTGTTCTACCGTTGAACTAAGGCAACCTCTCGTTGGAGTCACGGTAACTCTAGGGTTCCTGCTAGAGTTTGCAATGATTCTAGGCACTATGACTGACTGATAGTCTGTAGCTGGTCTAAGATCAGGGGGAATTGAACCCACCATACCACAGTTATCAACTATGTGCTCTGACCGTTGAGCTATGACCTCTAATGCTCAACTTGAGCTTCATTAGGCTACGAGTATAGCCAAATTTGTACGCATAGCCTGGATCGAACAGGCGAGGACTCATTGGAAGTGAGCAATGTTACCACTACATCATATGCGCTTACAGCTTGACAGCTATGGATCACCTGTAGTCTGTCGGATGAGTAGGATCCTTCTAGCCTCTTGCATATTAAGTAACACCCCATACGACTCGAACGTATAGCCTACTCATCCGAAGTGAGTTGCGCTACCAATTGCGCCAGGAGTGCTTTAACAAATTCGGAGGACCAGGAATCGAACCTGGACGGTCTCTGACCCAAACAGAGCGCCCCACCTTTAGGCTTCCCTCCGCTTGACGGCTTATCTCATGTGATTCTTATAACGATCAAGCCGTCTAGCTACCCAAGGCTCTATGGGCTATTATTATTCCCCAGGGGGGGAAGCAATGTGGTATCATCAAGTCTAGCGACACATTAGTATTGCTCAGCTACATGCCTTACGGCACTTCCACTTGCAACCTATCAAGGACGTGGTCTACATCCTGTCGCATCGTAATCTCGGAGGAGCAGCTTCGCTCTTAGATGCCTTCAGAGCTTATCCTTAACGCACGTAGCTACCCTGCGGTACCACTGTCAGTCTCCTGTACTGCAGCTAATAGCAGGTACACCAGAGGTGCGCACCCAGCGGTCCTCTCGTACTAACCGGATGTTCCTCATTAATTACCTATCCCACCAGAAGATAGAGACGATACTGGCTCACGCCGTATTGAACCCAACTCACGTAGCACTTTAATCGACGAACAGTCGAACCCTTCCCAGCTGATGCACCAGGAGGATGTGCTGAGTCGACATCGAGGTGGCAAACAGCGCTTACGATGTGTACTCTTTCGCGCTATTACCCTGTTATCCCCAGCGTACCTTATCCGTTGAACGATGGCTGTACCATAACATACCATCGGTTCACTATGCCCTACTTACGTATCTGCTTCACCTGTCAGTGTTGCAGTTTAGCACACTTACGCCATTGCGCTGTTGAAGATCTTACATGATCACTTAGTATCCGTCTAAGCTATGTGTACCTGTTGGACCCCTCCGATGGAATCTTGGAGGGTACCGTCCCAGTAAAACTACCCGCCAGGCAGTGTCCCTAGTAAACTAGGTGTAGTGTGTTTGATTAGTGTTGAGGGCTCTCACTTGCGCCATATCAGCTACCTCATACCTGTGACACTAACGAAACAGCACAGTACCAGGCTGTAGTAAAGGTGCATGGGGTCTTCTCGTCTAACTGGTGGTAAACCGCATCTGCACGGCTAATTCAATTTCACCGGACCCATGTTTAAGACAGTAAGAGCATCGCTGTTCCTTTCATGCAGGACCGTAATTAGCGGCCAAGGAATTTCGCTACCTTAGGATCCTTATAGTTAAGACCGTCATTGATCAGCTCTTCAGGGCCTGGCTAGTAGTTACCTACCAACCAGCACCCATATCAACTGACATCGGACAGGAATCACAACCTATACGACCTCTGTTAGAGTTAGCAGGCTGCTGTGTTTTGGGTAAACAGTCGCACTCTTCGATTCTGTGTCACTCACGATCCGCTAGGAACCGTAAGTACCCCTTATTGCCAAGCGTACGGGGTCAGTTTGCCGAGTTCCTTAAACATGGTTAGTCCGTCACCTTAGTATACTCTACCCGGGAACCTGTGTCGGTTTGAGGTACGGTAGCAAGACTGCATTATTTTCCTGGAAGCCAGCCTATACACCTCTGTAGAACCTTTCAGCTCCACAGTACGATGTAAGGCCTATATAGGCTCCGTTCTGCAGTATGGTCATCGAGACTTCGCGTTGGCTAGTCCCTTAGACACCGCTTTGACTAGTGGCAGTTTAACTTGCCCACTAAACCCTTTCCCATTCGGTGTGGATGATTTTACATCCATATGCTACTCATGCCAGCATCCTCACTCCAGCTGCCTCCAGACAATCAAAGACTGCCCTTCGTAAGCGCCGGACGCTCCGCTACCTAGTAGTATTACATAGCCGCAGCTTATCTAATACTATAGACTGGTCTTGGTGGACTAGTTAGACCCGATGGATCTTCGGCGCTCATAACCTAGACTCCTGAGCTGTTACGCTTTCTTTAAATGATGGCAGCTTCCAAGCCCACATCGGAGCTGTATTCGGTTATGAACTGCCTTACTTTCACTTGCTAGCCACTTAGGGACCTTAACTCAGTCTCTGGGCTGTTTCCCTCTCGTCGTAAGACCTTATCACCCTACGACTCACTGCCGCTCAAATGTTGTAGCCATTCCGAGGTTAGCTGACCTAGATAGGGTTTTCACACCCCCCTAGTCGGCTCAGTCAGACTGAGCATGTCAACCAGTGCTGTACCTGCCACAACATACGAACGACGCTGCACTGCAATGCATTTCGCGGAGAACCAGCTATCACGCCGTTAGATTAGCATTTCACTCCTAACCACAAGTCATCAGAGGACTATGCAACGTCCACCTGTTCGGGCCTATATCCCTGCTCATGGCTAGATCACGGCGTTTCGGGTCTAATCCAACTGACTCAACCCACAGATTCCTTATTGGAACTGCAGTCGCTTTCGCTAGGGCTTTCACCTTGCCAGCCAGATTAAGTTGCTGACCCATTATGCAAAAGGTACGATATCAACAATTAAGTTTCTATCTGCTTATAGAACTCCAGGTTCAGGCTCTGTCTCACCAGTCATCGACTTGCTTTCCACCTTTCCCTCACGGTACTCTTCACTATCGCTGAATGTGCCATACTTAGCCTTGGAGGATGGTGCCCCCATATTCGAGCAGTTTTGATCCCACTCTACTCACACTGCGTCTGATGTACAAAGCTGCCACAAGGGTCAGTATCATACACCTACAGTGCTAGTCGCTACATAGACGTCAAATCCACAGGGCTATCACCTTCTATGGCTTGCACGGTCCATACTCGCATCACGATGCGGCCCTTTTGAGGCCACCAGAGCGCTGATGGTGTGCAATTGGCCCTTTCCAGAGCCTTAGATCATCTGTACTATGCAACTTGGCTGTACTGCGTTCGCTCGCCGCTACTGACAGTGTCTCGGTTGATTTCCTTTCCTAGGCCTACTACGATGTTTCGGTTCGGCCCGTACTCTGATCATGGTTTTCCTTCAGGTCGCTCCCCTTGGGACATCACTTGGTGATGTCTGACTAGGAAGCATTCAGTGTTCCCACTCCTGTTCGGGCACATTCGCTAGGCATCCCCTAGAGTCCCTTTAGTCACTTGATGATACGTTCCACATTGCTATCGATACTTATAGTGACCAGGACGCCCTCAAGGCTAGGATCATACACGGACTTCCTTATAGGATCCGTTGAGGATCGGTCTCGACTCTATATTATAAGTGACAGTGTACCCATCTCAACGGTCAGAGCTGTCTCACGCTATAAGTAACATGTACATCGCGTACTCGACTGACGACTATCGTTTATCGAGGTGCTGATACGATACGTAGCCTCCAGTAGGCTACTAACTATAACTAAGGGCTTAATCATGGCCCCGAGTGAATGCTATCTAGCCTCTTCATACATGCAAGTCAATGGCTCTGATCAACGATCGCCGAGCCATGGCGTACAGGGTAGTATCGCAGGGCGCTACCTGAAGGACATGGTAATCCATGATACAGAAAGAGTCGTACTCGCCTTCAGATGCACTTGCACCACAGCAGCTAGTTGGTAAGGTAACAGCTTACCAAGGCAATGACGTGTAGACTTGGCTGAAAGGCCTGAAGTCACCAGTGGACTCTGAAATATAGCCACCGTTCCTCTTTGGGGCGCAGCAGTACGGGATCCTTGACAATGCGCGCAAGCGTGATCAGGAGAGCTAGAACCTTGTTGGGCGAAGGTCCGCGAGGTATAGTCAGACTAAATTATGATTCGTTTGACTACCAGTCCTAACTAATTTCGGTGCCAGAAGTTTCGGTTAGACCGATAGGGCAAGCATTACTCGTTGTGAATCGGCGTAAAGGGTCTGTAGGCGGCTCTTCGTACTCTAGTTACGAGGAGATAGAGCCACATAGGAGTCACTTCTATTCCAAGAGGAGCGCTGATATGCTTTGAGCCTTGGAGGAGAACCAATGGCGAAGGCAAGTGACTAGTTGTGTGCTGACGCTGAGAGACGAAAGCGTAGGGAGCAAAACGGATTAGATACCCGTGTAGTCTACGCTGTAAACGATGAGTGCTAGTGATTGGGCAAATGCTCAGACACTTAGCTAACGCGATAAGCACTCCGCCTGGGGAGTACAGCCACAGGGCAGAACACCAAATGATTAGACGGTCCCGAGGACCCGCAGTGAAGCATGACGCTTAATGCGATGACCCGCGCATAACCTTACCTGTGCTTGAATCCCAGCTGGGCATTTACGTGTCTCAGCCGGTGACAGGTGCTACATGACCCTCTTCAGCATGTGCCTTATGGTGCTTGGTTTGATCCGCTAACATGCGAAATCCTTACTGCCAATCTTCTTGGCAGTCTGCAGCTGATATAGCTGTGTAGTAGGGCTAAGAGAGGTCCCCATGACCCTTATGCACAGGGCCGCCGTTGTGCTGCCGAGGCTTCCACAATGGGATGCAACGTCGTGAGACTGAGCTACTCCCCAAATGGAGCCACACGGATTGTAGCCTGCAATCGGCTACATGAAATAGGAATTGCGAGTAATCGTGCAGTAGTGCGGCACGGTGAACATACCACTCGGGATGTACTAATTACTCGTCACATCTTGAAAGCGATGTCGTTATGAAGCATGAGTAAAGGATGTTGGGCTAACAGAACAAAGTGACCGGCAACGGTTCCTCTGGTCAACACAGTTGGCACTAGTCTTACATCTGGAGCTTGTTCGAGTGGCGGTGCAGCGATTGAGATGAAGTCGAAATATAGGAATGGTAGCGGAAGCTGCTGTTGAACAATATACCACTTGAACCCCCTTTTGAAGCATCGTGGTATAGTGGACCACCTAAGCATGGGCTATCCGTAGGATACGTGGTTCCCAAAGCTAAACGGTGCAGCGAAGTACTGTTAATACTTAGACAATTGGTTCGATTCCAATTGGGGACGATATGTGGCCTCGTGTAGGCTCCATTGTACTCAATCGTAGTACTAGCCTACACATGCTTAGCCCATTGAAACTACCTTCCTTATATATTTTGATACCGAAGAGCACTTGGGCAACCTCGAGCTGCTATAAGGATCGATATACATATGGACCGTATCACCTGCTCAATACGAGCTGACTCATAGACTAACAGAACAACCCTACGGCTAGGCCTATATTTGTCAATCCATCACTAGGATGATT